ATAGTCTGGACTATAGACTGATCCATAGTCTGGACTATAGACTGATCTATATTCCAGACTATAGACTGATCTATAGTCCAGACTATAGACTGATCTACAGTCCAGACTATAGACTGATCTATAGTCCAGACTAAACACTGATCTATAATCCAGACTATAGACTGATATATAGTCCAGACTATAGACTGATCTATAGTCCAGACTATAGACTGGTCTATAGTCCAGACTATAGACTGATCTATAGTCCAGACAATATTGTGATCTATAGTCCAGACTATAGAGTGATCTATTGTCCAGACTATAGAGTGATCTATAGTCTAGACTATAGAGTGATCTATAGTCCAGACTATAGAGTCATCTATAGTCCAGACTATAGAATGATCTATAGTCCAGACTATAGAGTGATCTATAGTCCAGACTATAGAGTGATCTATAGTCCAGACTATAGAGTAATCTATAGTCCAGACTATAAAGTGATCTATAGTCCAGACTATAGAGTGATCTATAGTCCAGACTATAGAGTGGTCTATAGTCCAGACTATAGAGTGATCTATAGTCCAGACTATAGAGTGATCTATAGTCCAGACTATAGAGTGATCTATAGTCCAAACTATAGAATGATCTATAGTCCAGACTATAGAGTGATCTATAGTCCAGACTATAGAGTGATCTATAGTCCAGACTATAGAGTGATCTTTAGTCCAGACTATAGAGTGATCTATAGTCCAGACTATAGAGTGATCTATAGTCCAGACTATAGAGTGATCTATAGTCCAGACTATAGAGTGATCTATAGTCCAGACTATAGAGTAATCTATAGTCCAGACTATAGAGTGATCTATAGTCCAGACTATAGAGTGATCTATAGTCCAGACTATAGAGTGATCTATAGTCCAGACTATAGAGTGATCTATAGTCCAGACTATAGAGTGATCTATAGTCCAGACTATAGAGTGATCTATAGTCCAGGCTACAGACTGATCTATAGTCCAGACTATAGACAGATGTATAGTCCAGACTATAGACAGATCTATAGTCCAGTTTATAGACAGATCTATAGCCCAGACTATAGACAGATCTATAGTCCAGACTATAGACAGATCTATAGTCCGAAATTGACCGATTCAAATAACCGATTTCAATTACCCAACTAAAATCACTAATTTAAAATGCAGCGGAATTACGGAATAAACGACTGAATACATTTGTATTTGACCATTTCAAACAAAATTTTTTTGAATGAATTTTTGAGGTAGAATATTTAAAATCAAATTCATATAAAGATGCCGGTGCTGTTGGCGCGTTCTCGAAGCTAACGTCTACGACATCGTCGATGGGCAAGAGTGCAAAAAGCCATGTGTGTTCGTGGATATAAATAAAAATTCTGTTTTATTTATTTGTTGGTGATTTTTCGTCGGTTTTTATCTTGTTTTCCTGTCACTATTATTAAATGGCGTCAAAAGCAAAGAAATTTATATAGAGACAGAAGTATGACCGACCGAATATGTATGTCTGTCTGTAGATATTTATATTTGCTGTCTATACAAGTGCAAAAATACATAAAAATGTGCAAATAATTGTAGCACATTGTAAAAAAGAATTGTTTTGTATTCATATTTTTTTGAGTTTATTTTTGTTTTTCTCAATCAACCTCATCAATGAAATCTTAATTTGGAAATATTTCAAGAATTCACACATTGGACAAATGGACAATAAAGAAATAATTGTGTATTTTAAAGATTTTTGGACGGCCTTTAAGAGGGGAGTGTCTTTTAGTAAAAAAAAAATTAAAGAAAATATTTCCGCAAATTCTACACACATACATATGTACATATTTTTTCCATGCTATTTTTAATTTTTTTATAAGTACAAATATTTTTATTTAATTGTTTAGTCATGACAGCAAGTTTGTTTGTTTGTTACACATTTGAATGGGGTTTTTTATGACAGTGGCATTTTAATCGTTGACAGGCGGTAATAAAATTTATTTTATTTTAAACGAAAACTGTAGCAGCCACAAACAAATACTTGTTATCCAGGTGTTTATTTGTGTCTTGTTTGCAAATTTGTTTAAATTGAACATGTGCAACATAGAGTCACAACAATGTTGCAATATGTTGAACATATATATATCTGTAGTATTTGTATATTCTTACCTTATTTGAAAAGGGAATAAGTCATTATTTTGGTTTTATCTGTAAATAGAGAAAAAGAAAAAGTAAAATTTTACAAATATGGAATAGAAAAACTTGGTTATTAGAAATACGTATTGTTTTTTGGGTCTAATGAAAACCTTAATAGATATTTAAACAATGGAATTATACTTTTTAATAAAAGATGAAAATGGGTTCGAAATGAAAATGAGTTAGATTGATCATTATTAATCCAGTTCAATTTCAACAAAGTTATGCATATTATCGTGCTTAGGTCCAGCGGTATGATTTCTATACTTGTATTGGGTCAGAATGAAATACTAAATAAATGAACATTAAACCAATTTAGCGCCATTGAATTCCAGTTCGTCAACAAACGGACAGTAGTTTAGGATGGAAAGATCTATAACTTCTTATCGGTTAGTCCAATAAGATAAAAGGAAGTAATATCGAGTTTATGTATTTCATGTGGGCCAGACGCGGCCAGAAGTCCCCAAAGTAGTATATCTCGAGTATGAACAATTTTTAAAACGACCCAATTTCTTCGTTTATGGATCGATTTGCAAGACTCAATTTTTATCTTAATAAGCTTGAATCTATGTATTATAGTCTCTTGTATCTTAGGTACTTATGTTAAGCTGATAGATGCTTTAATCGCTTCCCCTAAGACACCTGTGTTCCCTTGATCTTTTCCGCTTTCTAGTAATTAGGGTTGCAGGATCTCTGGAAGCAAATGATGATCTTCAATGGCCACGTTTTTGTTGTGTTGCCAAGTTAATGTATTGCATTTGGACCTTGTGGATCTACCAGGGGCACGGGCAGAGGTCCCCAAAGAAGTATGCCTCGAGGATGAACAATTTTAAAACATCCTAGTTCTTTGTTTATGTGTCGATTTGCAGCGCCCGATTCTCATTTTCATCAAGCTGCCATCTGTCCGTATTAATTTTACCCTCAGGTTGACTATGGTCTATTATAGTCTCAGGTACTTATGTTAAGCTTTAATCGTTTCCCCTTTACAGTAATTAGGGCTGCAGGACCTCTGGAAGCTAAAGTTGATCTTCAAGTAGAGTAGTCCACGTTTTTTTTTTTTTTTGTTTTTCCTAAAGGATCTTGTTTTGCCACGTTGATCACCTCCAACAATGGTCATTTTAGTCCTATTATATGAGTGTACAACATGGGTCTAGACTCTACAGTTGTTAATCGATCTAATGGCGATATAGCGAAAAAGTTTAGAAGTGTTCACAATACTGCTTTAGTTTTGCTAGTTCCTGGTCCGCTTTACCGCCCTAATTCATAAAAAAATTTCTCGCAGTCAAAGTTGCGGGACGGACAACCGAAGAAATCTACATTACGATCTCAGAAACGATCATGGCCAATACATAGGCACGGACATATACGAAATTCAATATGTTTATAAACGATGCCGATTAGCTAATAAAATGTGTTTGTCCAAACACCGCAATGACTTCACTGAAACAGTCAAAGAAGACATAAAACTTAATAATCATTACTACACTAAAAAAAGGTGGGTGTTCAAATAAATAAATTTATTGATTCTAAGCGAAATATTTTGTAAAATAAATGTTGTTAATGCCAAAAAGAAAAGAAAAACAATCGATAAAAACATGAAATAAAAGAAATGACCACAAATCATTTACAACATATTAAAAGTCGATAACAAAAATATACACAGTTTCCAGCAAACAACAACAAAAACAACTGAATATTGGCACGGTATTAACACTTCTTTGATAAATTGTTGAATCTAAACACGATGACGATGGCTGTAAGGCATCAAAAACACTTAAAATCATCAGCACCATCATCATCATCTTCATCCACCTCATGGTCTTCAAGAGAGAAGTTAAACAAAAAACTATAATGAAGAAAGTGTTGCATTCATTGGCGGAAAAACAGACGGACAAAGCGACAATTGAATGGATCAACAATGGCGAAAAAAACTGTGAAACAAACAGACATACGAACGTGTACAGCGCGAGTAAATATGGTGCGAATGTTTTAAACAGCTTTTACCCACGACTCACTTTGAAAGCAATAGATAAAACGATATTAAATCAAAGACTATAAATACTTGTTAAAAAATTATAGCAAAAATAGAAAAAAAATTATTTTATAATGTTGTACTATTAGAAAACGCTTAGCCACTTAATGTACACAATAAGAGCGAGAGCGGGTGGTGATCAAGACCAGATTTTGCGCACATTTTTTTAAAACCTAACACACAACTTAACTAAAACAGGTCTGGAAATAATACTGGACAAAGTCGATATTCATAGATCGCTTTTGAAGTTATTAAAAATATAAACTAAAATAAAAACTAATCCAGACTATAGACTACTAGTCCAAACTTAGTCTACACTATAGACGAGACTATAGTCCAGACTATAGACGAGACTATAGTTTAGACTATAGACGAGACTATAGTTTAGACTATAGACGAGACTATAGTTTAGACTATAGACGATACTATAGTCCAGACTATAGACGAGACAATAGTCCAGACTACAGACAAGACTATAGTCCAGATTATAGACGAGACTATAATACAGACTATAGACGAAACTATAGTCCAGACTACAGACGAGACTATAATACAGACTATAGACGAAACTATAGTCCATATTATAGACAAGACAATAGTCCAGACTACAGACAAGACTATAGTCCAGATTATAGACTATAGTCCAGACTATAGACTATAGTCCACTATAGTCCAGACTATAGACAAGACAATAGTCCAGACTATAGACAAGACTATAGACATGACTGTAGTCCAGACTATAGACATGACTGTAGTCCAGACTATAGACAAGACTATAGTCCACACTATAGACAAGACTGTAGTCCAAACTATAGACAAGACTATAGACTGTAGTCCAGGCTATAGACAAGACTACAGTCCAGACTATAGACAAGACTACAGTCCAGACTATAGACAAGACTATAATCCAGACTAAAGACAAGACTATAGACAAGACTATATAGTCCAGACTATAGACAAGAGTGTTGTCCAGACTATAGACAAGACTATATTCCAGACTATAGTCCAGCCTATAGTCCAGACTATAATCCAGATTATAATCCAGACTATAGACAAGATTATAATCCAGACTATAGACAAGACTATAGTTCAGAAAATAGACAAGACTATAGTCTAGACAATAGACAACTATAAACAAGACTATAGTCCAGACTATAGGCAAGACTGTAGTATCATCTATAGACGGGACTAGTTCAGAGTATAGTCGAAACTACAGTCCAGAATGGAGTTCAAACTATGAGAAGAGATTACAGTCTATATGAGACAACAAATGAGACTATAATAGCATACTATAGCAATTACGAATATATAGTCCAAAGTGTAGAATAAATTATAGTTCAGACTTTAAACTAGACAAGAAGTCCAGAATGTTGAAAATGAAAAATTAAAAACTGTCCCCTACAGTTAGTGGCTGGCACAACACAAACATGTCCCAACATTAAATAAAATCAATGATGATCGAACGTGTCTACGTTTTGCACATACAAGGGCAGTTTTGAAAAACCAATAATGGTTAAAATATATTAAACAAGTTCATGTTCATACATTAAAAAAAAAAAAACAAATTGACGCTGAAAAAACAGTCAATGTTTTAAACGGCTAAAACGGCAGCAACACCAACGACAACAATAATAACTGACTAACAATACGTTGGTTGATCAAAGCAAAAAAATCGCTTGATGATGAAGATGTTGACGATTATTACAATGATCATTGATCATGACGATGATAATGTTGTTGTTATAAAGATTATGATGATGATGATCTCAATAAAGACATTTTTCTAGCATTTGTTTTGAAAGCCAACAAGTCTGGTCTATAGAAATTTAATCCACAATAAAAACAACAAGAAAACACTACAAGTTTTCAACAACAATAACTGCTGTCCATAGTTGTTGTTTTGCACCGAGTCAGAGTATGAGACAGGGAGTCAGCAGCTTATTCAATGAACATAATTTGTGAAAACATTTGCAACACAAATGTAAACATGAGATTTACCAGTTGCCATCAACAATGTCATCATCAGCCATTCTCCTCCCTTCTTTTTTCTTTCTTTCTACCAACTGCTGTATTGCAAGTAAGTGACAGCATTAATGTTAAAAGTCTGCTTCAACCTCCTACTTCTGCTAACACCACCACCATCAACGCCACCACTATGAGGCGAGTAATGTCTGGTATTTTTTGAACATGTTAATCGGTTACTCATTTCAATGAATAACTATCACTATGTATAGCCAGGCAACTACTTACTTATTTGGTAAATTTAAAAATTAACAAATATTTTAAACAGAAATAATTATTTGTTTAAAAAAGGTTATTTTTTAAAGACTTTTTTAGTAGTTATTGTTGTTTCATTTCAAACAGGTGATGAAAATAAAGAAAGAGGTGCAGAAGTGGTTTTAAGTGTAATATTTTTAATCAATCGGTAATAACGCAGCCTGATCCTATCCAATGACCGACCGTGGAAAAGTCCGTTTGTAAACTATAGTCTAAACTATAGACAAGTCTATAGTCCTGACTATAGATGAGCATATAATCCTGACTACAGACGAGACTATAGTCCTGACTATAGACGAGACTATAGTCCTAGTTATAGACGAGGCTATAGTCCTGATTATAAACGAGACTATAGCCTTGACTATAGACGAGACTATAGTCCTGACTATAGTCCTGACGAGACTATAGTCCTGACTATAGACGAGACTATAGTCCTAGTTATAGACGAGACTATAGTCCTGACTATAGTCCTGACGAGACTATAGTCCTGACTATAGACGAGACTATAGTCCTGACTATAGACGAGACTATAGTCCTGACTATAGACGAGACTATAGTCCTGACTATAGACGAGACTATAGTCCTGACTATAGACGAGACTATAGTCCTGATTATAGACGAGACTATAGTCCTGACTATAGACGTGACTACAGTCCTGACTATAGACGAGACTATAGTCCAGACAATAGACGAGACTATAGTC